GAAATCAACATGGGTGCAAAAGGCACTTAGGTCGTGGGTTATCAAGGGCACGTCTACAGGGGTCTTCTCAGAGCTGTACCGAGTCGTGCGATCCTGAAAAGTCCTGTGGCAATAGTGCCTGCTCCTTGCACAGATACATTAGAGTCCACATGGTGCACCAGTCAGATCATGGGGCCAATGCAACTGCTATAGTCCTTGTCGGAGGCCACTATTCAAAACCTCCTTTCGTTGGGGGGAAAACTTTGGAGAGGGATTTTCAATGCCACCTGCCATTAGTGTTGCACACTGAACAGTTTCAGAATCTGGTGCGGAACCCCCAGGAAATGGCAGAGGGGGAGGAAGCCAGGGGAAAGCTGAATTGGGGAGTCATTCCACCTGACACCTTCCTTCCCCCAGGTTTTTTTTTTTTTTTTTTGAAAGCAAGCCTTCCACTAATGTAGGTGCCTCCAGAATACTAGGAAGGGGCACAACACATATATTTTAATCATTTGTGTTCACATAAAGCCTAGTAAACATGATATTCTGCCAAACATCCATACCCATTTGGGGTTTTCAGATGCTAGGTCACCACTGGACTGGGCCATCCTCAGATCAGTTTGCCACCCTATTGCTTTCACCTTGCAAATAAGCCTCCAGGTGTCTTTAAATCATTTACTTAGACATACCTACGTATATTAGATATTTTGTGGCACACAGAGAGAAAGGAGGAGATGGGAGAAGAAAAAAATCCTGTTCTGATTTAACAATGCTTGCCGGTCTGGTCACCTGGAGACTATTCTTAACTCGCCACAGGAGACTTCTATACAGTACATATATCATAGGGAACTGTGTGGAAATTCTCACTAGAAAGCTGATGAATTTCCATGAGGGCTTTAAAACAAAAACAAACCAAAACAAATTTGCAACTTGATGTGGAAAACTGAACTTGGAAATGGAGGGGGAGTGGGGAGAAGAGAAATGGAGAAAAATCAACAGTTTCACCAATCCCTTTTCAAAGGCAGTACAGCGCTCAGGTTTTGCTTCAGCATGAAGCAAGCCAAGACTGAGTCCTCTATCGTACCAACAGTAGCAATTGCATCTTGCTTGTTAGACCTGGGAGGTGCTGCTTTCGTTAAAGGTACCCAGCTTTCTCCAGTAGTCTCCCAGCAGTGTGGAAGCCTCTGGTCTCACTGGGACATCTGCCAAAGACATCCTTGGGCTGGCCCCACAGGCTCGCATGATAGCAGTTCTTCTGGGGCTGCCCCTTCATCCCCTTCTTCTGGTTCGGAGTCCTCGACTCCATCTCCTGAAGAAGAGGACCCTGACTCCAAGTCCCTGGCAGTCTTCAGTGCAAAAGCTTGTGGGGGAGTGGACAATTTTGCATTATCCTTCACCCCTTGTATGAAGAAGAATTATGTGATATAGCTCCCAGCATGGAGCACCTGCCTCAGACTGAACATGGAGCGGGAGGATGAATGCCTCTGTTGTTCCACCACATAAAGAGGACAGTAATTTGAGGGTGGGAAGTAGCTTACTCCAACCAAGATGGCGGCGACAAACAAACTCGGTCTCTGCTCTTCCTGTGGCAGCAAAGACTCATTCTTTTGATTGGCTGGGCCATTATATTTGATCTTTAGGCCTTAAACATTATTAAAAGCGTTTTATGCCATTCTATTGTGTTGTTGTTATGGAGTTGTTTGTACTATGGGAGTGACTTCCGATTTCATTCCCCCCCTCTTTTTTTTTAAAAAAAGTTCATCTGGTTATGAAACAATCATAGCCATTATTTAAGTTTCCATTACATTGCACATGTACAGAATGTGAAGTATAAATATGTCACTCCATCTACGTCTGTCTTCATCTCTGGGGGGGGGGGCAGCAAATTAAGTCTACAAAATAGGCTTTACAAATGCCTGCAGATCACGTTATGGCTGGGCATCTTCAGTTTTTCATACTGAGAAAACCAGCTAGGATCACTGGGCATGCCGCCAGATCCCAGAAATCCTAGAAATAACATTACACTCACCCAAACTCCTCTTACAATCCAGTTAAGAGTTTGGGGAAGGGCTGTAGCTCAGTCATGGCCCAGGTTCAATCCCCAGCATCTCCTGGTGGGACTGAGAACATCTCCAGACTGAATCCTAGAGGTCCATTTCCAGCAAGAGTCAACAGTGCTGAGGTAGACTTGGTATAAGGCAGCTTCCCGTGCTCCTCTTCCTTAGCTTATACAAGGGTGTAGGCAGCTACGGTGTTTCATAGAAGGATGCATAGTGGAACCTCTGTAGGGAATAAGTGGGTGAAGCCCTGTGTTGCTGTCCCTTGAGCTTCCATCATCCCAGATCAATGGCTATACTGTTGGGTCTGTGGAAGATAGCGTCCAGAAACATCTGGAGGGCAGTGTGTTGGCTACCCCCACTTTACTGAGTTGCAAGAGAGATTGCCACTCCTGTTCATGATATGGGAATAAATAATCTGATGCTTATTCGTTTGTCCAACATTGGGGCTGAGCTGCACGGCATTGATAAACTGAAAGGGCAGGCCGCAATTATTTATTTTCAAATATATTTTTTTTTAAAAAATGCCAACCAAGGCTCAACACACTGGACCATTTCCAAGAGCTAAGAACACCAGGAGTGCCCTGCAGGATCAGACCACAGTCCTATTTAGTCCTGCCATATTGGCCAACCAACTGGGAAGTCCATAAGCAAGACCTAAGCACAGCAGCCTTCTCACCATTTGCGAGTCCCGGAAACTGGTGTTCAGAGAGGCATACTCTCAGACGCACCTTGGACTGGGCTTGCAGTGACATTTGTATACCAAACACAATACAGGGAGGTGCAATGGCAGGAATGCCGTAGGTGAGAAAGACGCTCACTGTGGGAGCCACATAATTGTTGGAAGGCTTGGGGAAGAAGGAAATGCGAACCTTGGCGGTAAGAAGGGCCCATTTGCCCATATCTGGGGAGCTGAGGCAGCAACAGAGGTTGATGGCAAGGCAACGTTTGGAAAGTTCAATCTCTTTTAAGGGCGGCTCATGTTTGAAACCTTTAGCCCTGTGTGTGACCTGGTTGGAAGGTGGACCTCTTTACAGGGCACGTTCCAGGGCGCCGCTTGAGTAACTGGAACATAATTAGGTGGGTGGGTGGGTGGGAAGGGAGGCCAGTCAACAAGAAGCTAGCGGGATGGAAATAGAATAATAACACAACTTTTTAAGATGACAGTGCAGGGTGGCCAGAACACTAAAGCAAAAAAGAAAGAGAAAGAAGTAGTAATACCAAATGTGACATTTTCCCAGCGGTGTGATAAATTAATGGTGTTATAAAAGCATGAACCATTGAGGCCCATTCGCTGTTTGTTAGTTTTCTGAAATGGATTCTGACGGCAACCGTAATGTATTCTTAAGCTGTGCCAACATTCTGTACAAGCCTGACCGATGGTCCTGTGAAACATTTCCCTATTTATATATATATTTCTGGTGAGGGAAAGGGAGAAAACTCAATAAAAGGAGGGAGGTGGGTTCAAGGCAGCGGGACAGGTAGCAGAAGCATTGTCACTGCACATCTTGAGGCCAAGGAACCTCGGAAGGGGAAGCCATTGCAAATGGAAAGCCTCTGTTGTTGGCCTTCTCCAGGTTTTGGGTGGACCATGAAATTACCGAAGGGCTACAGTGCTTTGGCCTGAAGAGCTGCACCGACTCAAAGAATTCCATCTACATAGAAAACTGGGATGTCAAAGAGGGCTATGCCTCAAGCTTGTCCTTAACATGCTAGATTTCTATCTGTGGGAATTTGGGGGGGGGGATTGGCACCCCGTCATGAACTCTCGGTGATAACTAGTCTGTAGGACCTTCGTACTAAACAAAAACAGCCAGGAGGAGCCTCATGAACCCAGAAAGTAGTTCATGCTGCGCTTTTGTCAGGGCTGCTTCCTATGTTACAAATCAATGACACCAGAGTTCTGCTATGACTTTCTTCTGGCCATGGAGATGTATCATGGGAAAAATGGGTTTGTAAGCAAGGATATAATGTCCCTGCTGGGTTTTGCAAAGGGTGTGTGGTGTACCTAGGGAGAACTCCTAGCCCCCCATGGGTCTACCAACCACCATCTTTTCCTCCAGGCAGACCTCTGGAGACCATCCCTCACCCCACCGTCTTGCATCTATTTGCTTACATTTCAAGAAAGCCATTGGGAAGCCCTAAAACAAAAATCACAGCACAGTGCAAATAATATAACCACCTTTCAATCCAGAACCTCCATCCTATACTTAAGTGGTGTTCAGCTGCCCACTGAGCTCCGTCTCATGAGTTTGGCAGCGTCTGTGAACGAAGCCGTCACACTGGTGTTGTCGGGTACCAGTCCAAAGAAGAGAGAGAAGAACATCAGGTCAGAGAACACAAGAGGCACAAAACATGGAAAGAATTCTTCGTATCAGACTTCCACGTCCAGAGTTCCTGACAAGTTTGGGAGGCCGCAAGGACAGTTGCCTAAATCTCATGCCGTAGGAGGTCCTCCTCGTGGGATCAGATGGCAACCTTCGCAACTCAACGAAGACCTTGCATTGACTAATTATGATTTTTGTTTTGATGAGTATGCTGTGTGTTGGTCTCGATTCAAAGGCTCCAATCCAGCAAAGGGAAGTCCACCTGCCTGTGCAACAGCTGATGCAGATGTGCATCCAGAAACACATGTGGAGGGCCAATCACAAGTAATCATGTCCCGCTCCTTAAACACGAATTCCCACCCACAGCCACGTGTGTGTGTGTGTGTGAGAGAGAGAGAGAGAGAAAGAGAGATTAATTGCATGTGCTGGATTGGGACCACTGGATTGCTATGCCTAGATATTATAGGAGTCTGTTATCTTGGATGAGTCGCCAGTCACCCAGTGTGTTTCTGCCTCTTAATTGTGAACATGAACATTTTGACTTTCGGTCCATATTACACCTTTTTCTTCTTCTTCTTCTCCTTCTCCCTGCCCCCCTCTGCCCCCCTGTCCTTTCTTCCTTTTCCTTTTCCTTTTGCAGGCTGGCGTAGCGCCCAGGGGACGCTTGATGCATGGCAGATTCCGGACGGAAGCCCAAGGACGCTTAAATTCTGAGAGAATGTGAAACGCAGAAGGGGATGTGCTCTGCGTCCACGTGGGGCTTGCTCTCGGGTTGTTTTTTTGTGGCGCCGTCCGGCTGAGCAGCTCCAGAAGTTGCCACGCAAAAGGCGGGAACCGACCGAGCCCCCTGCTACTACTGCCTGCCCGAAGACTCTTTATTTATATATTTTTAACAGAGTATAAAAACCGCGTCATTAAAAAACCACCCAACTTCCATTAAGGGCTTCCCATGTTTCCCCGCTACCTCCCCTCTCTTTTATTTGACAATCTTCCGTCTTCGATCTGGAAAGCCACCTGAAAACAGGTTGATGGAGCAGGATTGGGGAACCTTTGGCCCTCCGGATGTTGCTTGAACTACAATTCCCATAATGCATAGCAAGCGTGGTCAATGGCTGGGGAAGATGGGAGTTGCAGTTCAGCCACATCTGGAAAGCCAAAGGCTCCTCACACCTGTGACAAGTGTGACCTAGCGCAGTCGACCACAAAATAAATCTTCTCAACACATACCTGTTCTGGTAATTTGCAGAACATCCAGAATGTGACAGGACCCTCCCACCTAAAAAATAAAATAAAGAGTGGGGGGGGGGAGTCCACAGTTTTTTTGTAAGGTGAAATGTTGGCTCAAGATCTTGGAGCACCGCTATCAGGCAAGTAGATGATGGGGCTGTATTTGGGCCTTCCTAGGTGGTGCCCTGGAGATATTGTTGAGCTCCAGCACTTAGCAACCCCAGCCAAGGATGATGGGAGCTATATTCCTCCACCACCGGAGCTCACCAGTAGTCTGGCTCAGTATAAGGTGATGGCCTTCAACTCTTTACTAACCAAGGTCCAAGAGGGAGAAGGGATGTCTTTCCGATCTGCAAGAGTCTTCAGAGGCCAATATTACCGCGAGGTTGCTATTATTATTATTATTATAATATTATTATTATTAGCCCTAGCCACTCTGGGCGGCTTCTAACAAATCAAAACACACACAATTAAACACCCGCACAATCACTGCTGGCAGCAACTGCCGTGGTAGGAGCAAACCCGAGTGTCAACCCTGTGCATGAGAAGAGCCTGCAGGATCAGGCCAGTGACCCATTGTAGACTAACGTCCTTTTCTCACAGCGCCTGCAGGGAACCCGCCAAGCGGGACCTGAGCGCAAGAGTCCTCTTCTTCCCAATCTGTGGCTTCCAGAAACTGGTATTCAGAAACATACCGGCTCCGGCCATGGATGCAGAGCAGAGCCATCATAGCTAGTGGTCCCTGATAGACTCATCTTCCATGAATTTATCCGATGCTCTTTTAAAGTCATCAGAGTTGGCGGCTCTCACCGCCTTCCCCTGGGAGTGAGTTCCATAGTTTAGCTATGCCTTGGTACCTTGAAGGCACTGAGAGTTTCCCCTCACTGGCTGAGGGGGTCTTGGTTATTTGGCCTGTCAAATATCGTGACTCAGCTGTAAGTTAAGAGAGGCAGAGGCAATGTCAGGTCCTGCTCCTGCTGGTCTGCCTCCTACGCTGGGCCAACTTCACATTTTATATTGGATTGTTGGAATATTTTGTAAGATTGCAATCCACCTTGGGTGCCTTGGCAGGAAAGGTGATATATGTATGTATATATAGAAATGCAATAAAGTATTTGAACATGATCAAGTACTATAAAATGTCCCATAAAAATACTAGGGAAGAGCATTGCATGTTTTGCATGCAAAAGGTGCTCGGTTTAGTCCCCATCATCTCCAGGTCTGAAAATCTTGGAGAGCAGCTGCCAGTCAGTGTAGACAATATTGAGCCAGGTGGACCAGTGGTCTGACTTGCTATACGCTTCATGTGCCCAGAGCACCCTTTAGGGTCAGACTCACCATTTAGGCAAAACGAGGCAGGCAGGGGACTGATTTTTGGATTTCATGAGCTGGCAGCAGATGTTTAGTTATTTGATTTATCTGTGCTTCATGTTTGTGTCGGAGAGATGCTTACAGGATTAATAATAATAAAAAAAATTATTTATATCCCGCCCTCCCCAGCCGAAGCCGGGCTCAGGGCGGCTAACAACAATAAAACAGTACAAAAGTACAGCATAAACAACATTCTAAAATCATTCATTATAAAATTAATTAATTCAAGCCACTGGCAACCATTGGGCCAGAGCTCCGCAAAGATTGCCAAAGGAGGGAGTCAGGCTGTGCCCTGGCCAAAGGCCTGGTGGAACAGCTCTGTCTTGCAGGCCCTGCGGAAAGATGTCAAGTCCCGCAGGGCCCTGGTCTCTTGTGACAGAGTGCTCCACCAGATCGGAGCCACAGCCGAAAAAGCCCTGGCTCTAGTTGAGGCCAGCCTAACTTCTCTGTGGCCTGGGACCTTCAAGATGTTTCTATTTGAAGACCATAAGTTTCTCTGTGGGGCATACCAGGAGATTCTTATTTTTCCCCTCGGGTGCCAAAATAACTTCACAAGCCGTGGGCACTGTGCACCAGGACTTTGCAAGGTGACGCCATTGGCTGCAGGAAGGAAAATGTCTTAGGCCTGCCCTTGTGTAAGTGGCAGGATTGAGGCCCCTGCTGCCACCTTCCACCACGCCAGTTGTGGCTTCCTTCAGGGTTTAAGAGGAAGCAGGAAGGTGGCACAAACAGACATTAGAGGAGCACAGGTCGTGAGTGCTAGGGGACACCATAGAGTCATTGCTTTCGCTCTAGAGAAGCAGGGCCTCCATACTGTAAATGCCATGGCAGACTTCTGCAAAGCCGATACGATGGACTGGTTGCCAGAGTCTTTGAGAACATAGTATTTATTTGTTCGTTTCTTGAAAATACTGTACAAAAACGGGTCCTGCAATAGGCCTGGCAACCTCAAGGATTTGTAGTTAAGAACCTAGGAAGCTGCCAGGCCACTGGGACACCCAGCTCAGGGGTGAATGAGCCCCAGGGCCAGGGGACAAAATGTGGCCCTCCAGGCTTGGGTTATTCAACCCCTCGGTTTCAAATGCTGAGTCCCATCCCCATCCTCAGTCACCACACATCTTTGTATAGCCAACTGAGGAACACTGAATTGAACCAACGTGGTTGGTTCATCTAGCTTGCTGGGTTCATGTGCAACTCTTTCAAAATGGAGCACTGGCTCAGAGAGGCAGCTGATTAGCTTGTCAGGTTTGCTTATAGGGAGCAGACTTATACTGAGCCAGCCCATTGGTTACTGTTGCCCTGTATTGTTTACACTGCATAGACTCCAGGGTCTTGGGCCAGTCCCATTACCTTAGATCAGGCATCCCCAAACTTGGCCCTCCAGATATTTTGGGACTACAGTTCCCATCATCCCTGACCACTGGTCCTGTTAGCTAGGGATGGTGGGAGTTGTAGTCCCAAAACAGATGGAGGGCTGAGTTTGGGGATGGCTACCCTTTTGCTGGAAATACCAAGGACCAAGTTACCCAAAATGCTGTGCTGCAGCCCCATCGTCTCTGGCCACGTTGGCTGGGGCTGATGGGAGTTGGTAGACTGAACATACGGAGGGCACAACATTGGCTACCTCTGGACTGTGTAGCTTGTATGCCTTTGAATCAGAATTAGCTAACATAGCACCCTCCAAGTGTCGCTAGACTACAATTCCCATCATTGGCCATTGACCTTGCAGGCTGATGGTAGACGGATTCCTACAACACCCGGAAGGTTGGCTATTCCCGCTTTAAAATCATCTACGACGTTTCCTGTTCCAAACAAAATAACAAGCAAAACCATATATGTCCACACTGGACGATTCGGAGCCGTGAGTGGCATTAATTTCCCAGAAGAAGCACTGAATTCATTCTCGCAACTCTGCATTCTAACAATCATATTGGTATTTATTCTTGTCGCACTCCATGTGAGTTTCCCAGCCGTCTTAATTTATCATTTGTGTGCAGCTGGGTGATGCTGATTGTGATGTACCGCATTTCTGTTGCTTAAATGTGTACTTTGGGGGCGAGGGCGGGGCAAAGGGGAGAGCTGTGCGGGGGAGGGGAAACACAACATGCTTTACTTTGTGTTTGTTTTTTGGGAGAAAAAAAATAAGAAACAACAACAAAAACCTGAAACGTATTTGTGTCAACCAGTGATTGCGCATCGGCGGCAGCTATATTCTCCTGTTAAAGGGGGTGGGGGTTGCTAATAAATTTGTTCTAACAATGGTCCCCAACACTTAAGAGATGGTTCAAAAAAATCTGCCTTATCCTGGCTGTTCAACAAGGTACAGAACCTAAGTTCCTCCTTAAAGACCCAACTCGGTTGATCTTCTAAACCTGCTTCTATAGAGTCACTGTTTTCAGGTGGGACTCACTCTCACACCAGCCCATTCCAATCAGGCAATGGAGGTGGATGTGGAGCTCCTTTGCAAGAGATCTGTATCCCCCTCTAAAATCAGGCTTCTTGTGCTAAGGAAAGTGGCCAGAAAACGCACCGGAAAGGGCGGGATAACATTCGCTTGACGCAGCGTCATCTAGCGTCCCCACCAAAAAATCAGAATAGATGGATGAGGTCATCTAAGCACCGTGTAAACTTGGTGCAAACGAATCAGGATAGCTGCTCCATAAACAGGTCACCTGGCAGCGATGCTTCCTAACTCGACAGGTGGCGCATGGGTGGAGTCAATGTTCATGTGAGAAGACTCAGCGAGAGGGCTGGGGTAGGGTGTGGGGAGCAGTGCTGGCCTGCTGTCCACTGATCTCTACCCCCTTTTGCCAGCACGTGTTGCAAGCAGCAGAGAAATGCTCTGTCCAAAGTTATTCCCTGAGCAATTAAGAAAACACCCCACTCGTGCAGGCGTTACGTTCCCGGGTACCGTGTGTATACATGAAATCGTGTAGAGTGGGGAACACCATCTAAAAAGCTGGTAAAGGTAAAGGGACCCCTGACCATTAGGTCCAGTCGTGACCGACTCTGGGGTTGCGGCGCTCATCTCGCTTTATTGGCCGAGGGAGCCGGCGTACAGCTTCCGGGTCATGTGGCCAGCATGACTAAGCCGCTTCTGGCGAACCAGAGCAGCGCACGGAAACACCATTTACCTTCCCGCTGGAGCACTACCTATTTATCTACTTGCACTTTGACGTGCTTTCAAACTGCTAGTTTGGCAGGAGCAGGGACCGAGCAATGGGAGCTCACCGCGTCGCGGGGATTCGAACCGCCGACTTTCTGATCGGCAAGTCCTAGGCTCTGTGGTTTAACCCACAGCGCCACCCGCGTCCCTTAAAAAAAAAGCTTGTACATACCCTATAAACATCTGGAAACCCTCTAAAAACAAGCAGAACTTACCAGACGAGTATGAATGGTGGCAATGGCTGCTCTCAGTCTTCCTTGTACATGGAAACAACGGCTGGGGGTGGGTGGGTAGACTTGTATCCTGAACTGCCTGGCTGTGAATCAGAGGCAGAGTGTGCCTTCTTTTGCAGTTTAAATCTATTTGTTTAATCATTTCCCAGTGCCATGAATATACACAGTCACACAAAAGTAGTGGGGAGATGCCTGTACAAGTAAGCCAAGCCACACTTTGGGGGGGGGGGTGAAACACGCACATGCACCTCCCTGATTCAATGGCCTATCCGATTTTAGGAAAACTTCTTTCCATCTCCTAAGCAAAGTCATGAACCATACGGTGAGAAATAGAACTGAACCATCCATATATATATATATATATATATATATATATATATATATATATATATATTTGCTTTCGTAGATTTTCACGGGTACAGGAATGCAGGTTTTGGTGTCCTCGGGTGTCTTCCCGTGTAAAAGTTGGGGTGTCTAGGCGACGTTTCTATATATATTACGGGAAACATTTAGAAACAATGAAAAACATATAAAAGTATGCAACGCTACCATATACTGTACTCCCACAAGTAATAACTTTCAGGTTGTCAGGATCGGTGTGTTTCGGCCATCAAACGCTTGGGTAAACAGGAATTCTTTCCAAATCCTTCCTGAAAAGTTAACAGTGATGCACCTCACTAGGGAAGGCGTGCCACAAATGCAGACCCACCACCAAGAAGGCCCTGTCATGAGTCACTGCCAACCAGGTCACAGACAGAAGCTGCATCACCAAAAGGGTCTCCCCTGCTAATTGCAGGACACGGGATGGTAGACACACTTCTAAGAACTTGGGCTCCAAGTAGCTTATGGCAACTGGTGAAACGCTTTCTGCAATACATGGAGTGGTGTGGGAGAACCTCCCTGGTGTCTCCTCACTTGGCTCCAGTAAGAGGAATACAAGCACTATGAGGCTGGAGCAGAACCACATGGGAGGCATGCACCAAGGACTGGTCCTCTGATCCAGATTCTGACACATGGTTTGTCTGTCCCACTCAACTGGTTGTTTTCTTACATTACTGCAACAACGTGGGGTGGAGTCAAAGGCATAGGAGCCCAGGGAAGATTTCAGATATTATTCTACCAAGCTCAGTCTGGAAAATTTGAACGCCACATAGTGAGACACAGGCGAACATGGTGTCCAGTGTTCAACGCCCACAGCATTAATTCAGGGCACCCTTTGCCAACCTGGTGCCCTCTAAGTGCATTGGACTGCCAACTGAGTGGCTGGGGCTAATGAGAATTGTTGTCCAAAAGGCACCAAGTTAGCGAAGGCTGAAATGGAGGGTACAAGGTTGGATCAATCACGAGAATGAACCAGTTTAGTTCAGGAAGAGCCAAACTAAGGGCTTATCCACTTACCCTTGCCCTACCCTTTCCATACAAAGGTCAGCACTTTAAAGCTCAGTGTCCAAGAACCTCCCCCCCCATTGAAAACCCACTCTTTGAAGCTCAATTGGAGCAAACAACTACTTGGGTTTTCTGCAGATTGACGTTTGCTCCAACTGAGCTTTAAAGAGCAGTTTTTCCCACGGAAAGCATGGAGCTTTAAAGCTTGGACCATACCTGGAAAGGTGAGTGTGGATAAGCCCTAGAAGCCAGTAAACCTGGCAATCATGTGATCAGTTCCTCCTCTGCAGCATCAATAGGAACCTGGGGGAGCCATCATGATGCCCCCCTCCCCAAGATATTGTGGAGACTACAGCTCCCATCATT